CCCTCTCGTCCGCCGAGGCTTCGCCTCCGGCTGCTCCGCCTTGCCCACCCCTCCTCCTCCTCCTCCTCCTCCTCCGGGCTGCTCCGCCCCCGCCACCGCGCCCTCCGGCCCGCCGCTCCCCGACGCTCCCTGCTGCGACTTGAACTCGTTCATCTGCAACCAAATCGGCCGGCCGGAACCGTGCGTCACGATGGAGAATTGGAGATTCACGTTGGAAATGGAAATGGCGCCCGCGCGCGCGCTTACCCAGGCGGGGTTGGCGACGGAGTTGTTGTCCCAGCCGATGTGCGCGACGTGCTTCACGTCCGTCGGGGCGCCGATCTGGATCTCCGGCTCCTTGGGGTCTGCAACTACCCGCACGCACACAACAACAGACAAGGTGCACACACTTTACAACACCATCCTACTGCATTTTGTTTCACAATTTTTTTTAACTTGGCAGCTTTTCATCTTCTGGTTGAATTCTATGCATGTTCATGATGCTTGATGTGAATATTGTTTTGGTGGTTAATTCATTGTGGCTGGTTAGAATTTAGGGGATTTGACTGTAGAATTGTGGCTGGTTTAGTGGGTGCTTGGCGCGTACCGAATATTTGCGAGATGTATCGGAGGCCCTTGAGAAGGCCCTTCATCTTAACTGGTTCCACAGGCGGCTGACCGCCCGCGGCACCCTGTGAGGAATCCACCACTTAAGTCTTTTGCGCCTTCCACCTCTTGATCTAAGCCTTCATAAGAAATATAATTATTAAGGCGTTAACAGATGAAAGTTTATTGTGCAAATCAAAAGGAAGAATCAACGATCCCACATTTACTTTGTTTGTAGATGAATAAACCCAATGTCATCATCCAGAGGTTTGTTTGTGCAAACAATGAAATGTGATGCGATCCTTTAAACTAGAGACTGAACTTTCAGCTCCCGGGTGCAGGGGCACCCTCAAGAACATCAAAAGTTTGATCATATTTGATCCTCCAAAATTTCAGATTTTTTCGATTTTTTTTCATATTGTTTTGAAGTTACTGTTCATGAGGGTGCCCCTGCACCAGGGAGCTGTCACACCTTTTCCTTTAAACTACCAAACAAAAATGAATAAATGACTTCTGAAAACAGCCCATCTGAAAGTTTTCTTCAGAATATATTGTTTGTAGATGAATAGACCCAATGTCATCATCCAGAGGTTTGTAGGTGCAAACAATGAAATGTGATGCGATCCTTTAAACTACCAAACAAAAATGAATAGAAATAACTTCTGAAAACAGCCCATCTGAAAGTTTTCTTCAGAATATAGTGTTGTTAATTGGCGCTGCCATGCATCAGGGGCTCATGGATTTGCTATCAGTTTTGGGTGAGATTATCTCTACATTCCATATAGGATCGAACCCGATAATGTGTAGAGCACAAAAGATGAATTACCAGAATGAACAGATTGATGAACAGATTGAAACAATTTATCCATTCTTTTGATATTGTGTTTCAATCTGTCTGCCACGCACAAGTAGATTCAGACAAAATAACCACCATCCAATGAAATCAAGCCCACATACCTTAGGAACCAATATTAATGGAGCAACCAAGGCCAATCAACAGAATTTCAGCTTCTTGGTGACATCTCCACCGTGGTCACGACAATTGTCTTGCTCTCCTATTCTAGCATGATCTGGCGCAAATTGGCGAAAAATTTCAATCCTCTCCCAAGCTCCAAGAGAAGCAAGAAGACTAGATTCTCTTCCTAGTTGGGGGAAATGGAAGGGCTGCAAGTTTGTTGCCTTAATCTATTAATAGCCCACTATTTTTGGGTCTAGGTTTCCCTTGGTTGCTGTTCGTTTCGACACGTACCAGATTGAGAGGCCCTGGTTCTGTTTAACTAGTCTGGAGCGCAAATGGTGGGAACGGCCAGCTCAGAAAAAATAGGAGACATTTAGGTAGGAAGTCTGGCAGGCTCTTAGTTTACAGCCTCTTGTTTTGATTTTAACCATCTGTAATTGTATCACACATCCTTACCTCTGTTTAAGCGAAGGTAATTAATAAAATCTGTGCTGGAAGTTTGACCTAATTCAGCAAAGTAATGTCAGACATATATTATTTGAAATAGGCACACGCTTTCAGCCTTTCCACATGTATAGAAAAACGCAAATAGAAACAACTATACATATATTTGCTGTGAACGTTTGATATATACTTGTATGTAATACGTACAATGTTCACAGGATTTTTCATTTCCCTGTGTTTTTCTTCTTTGAGATCATAACTTCATGTGTTCTCCCTCAAAAAGAAATCAGGTGTTGGCCTGAATCAGATTTCTATTTTAGTCAAATAGTTGGCCATTTGACTAACTAATTTCTGCTTTAGCCTGATTATTTGCAAAGGACAGGCCTGGCGCAATGGTGAGTGGTGAAGTACTCCCCACTTGTGCCAAGAAGTCCTGGGTTCGACGTGGCCTCTCTGCGTTGCAATGTGCAAGGGTAAGGCTTGCCTCATAGTATAATCTTTCCCCAGTGGGGGCTTCTAGCACCGGGTCTGTCTTTTGTGCTAATTATGTGCCATTTTATTTGTTGATTCCTACTCCTCTCCAACCACTGGATGCTAAAGAACCAAAACAAAATTTAACTCCAGGAATATAGTTCTGAAAGGAAAATCTTTACATATCTCGATGTATGCAACAACAGTTGAGACTTGAAGTGTTTGAAGTATATTTATGAGGACTAGCAAACTTTGCTAACAAATAATCCTACTGGTATTTAACTCTACAAGAAATGCAACCTTTATTCCTGAACAATCCCACTGGTATTCATTTCCCTTTTGTGCAAGTACCAAATTACATAGTGGGTCAAAAAATTACAGAACATATACATCAAAAATGGAAAATTTTCTGCCATACAACTGTTTCTCCAGTAAAAAAAAAAAGGACCAATCGAATCTTGTTGCTAAGGATGCTTTCCTGTACATGTCGCTATGATGCTTTTACCTGCAGTTCAGGAAAGTACAGATTATTTTTATTTGCATCTCCTTACCGTATAATGGTATAGGTATCGACAGGAAACTCACTGTGGTTAGGTACTTCTCCTGAATCGTCAATGCCCTTCTACATGCCTTTCTTGCATCCAGGCTTCCAGTGATTTCATTCAAAATCTGTTCTCAGGGGACAGGAACATAAAAAACATAACTTTCGGTTCTGATCAACATTGTGTGTGTGTGCGTGTGTGCGTGGGGGGAGAGAGAGAGGGAGAGAGAGGACCTTGACGACATCATCGAGACCTTTTGCCTCCCCCAGTAACCGCTTGTTTCTAGCCTCTATGACGCTAGCTACAACAAAGACCGATAGAGGGATCTGATCGTCTTGCTTGGCTGCCTGCAATTTTTTCCTTTCAAACTTTCCACACTGTTTTAGGGTATTTTCATCTTTTGCATTTGGTGGTCCAGTGTTACTCTCCAACGTTGAAAAAAACCCTGGATTGTACTCCATAGACCACATGAGCTGCAACATTTTGAAGATCAAGAAAATATAGTTTCAATTGTGGCCAGAACGCCTTCCATTAAGAAACCAATACCCCATGTAGTACAAATTGGAATTAGATTAAAAACTAAATGTCAATGATCATTATGTTTGATGACACTCCAGATTGAGTTGTCAAGAAAATTAATCTAGTGCACAGGCAACTAGCACACTACAGGTTAGTTAGCATTATCAAGAAATCTTACCTCCCAAAGGTACATCGTGTCTATAAAAGAGAACTCTCTACGAAAAATAACCATCAGCATCCGAAAGGCAAATAAGTATTCACCTCCATCAAGATTTTCTGCATACATTTTTTTATTAGGAAATACAAAAATTGGAGCTCGTTAAATAATTGATGAAGCAAAGGCATTCGTTTCTTGAACAGTCTAATAAAGAAAATAAAATAAAATAAAGAACATTTAGCTCCAAAAAAAACTCTACCTAAATGCTCATGTAGCTTTGGGTCAACAGCTTTCATTATGGTTGACAAGGTGGTCAGCTGAGATCGAACTCCAATTGAGGTAGAAGTACTCTTGAAATTTTCACGCTGCATATTTTGAAGGTAAAATATTAAAGCTTTAAGCATATGCAGAAACATGAATGAAGTCAGATACCACATGCAGGCATGCAGCAGAAGAGCCTATTACTTCAGAGAAGTACAAAAGCGCAGGCAAGAACTTCAGAGTTTTTTCGCGTCTTCTTTCGATACCAGCATCAAGTAGTTACATTTATCCGCGTTGTCCCTTTAAGGTTTGGGAAATCAACAGATGCTTGTGCAAAGCAAAACTGGCTACCTAAAATTCAGAGTTCAGACTGAGTAGGTCTCAAATTATACAAGCATATATTATCTTACAATAATTGTATGCATTGTCTTTTAACTTTAAATTGTATGCATTGTCTCTTATAGCCTTTTAGTTTTATAATGTTATCTGTAGAAACATAATCTAAAATCTCGCGCTGCCACTATGATGCAAGTTAGCAGAAAGCAATGCAGTTCCTAAACAATTGAAAATGTAAACGATCCAAATGTTTCATTGGTGATAGAAGGATAGGGGTGCTTACCACTCTGCGCATCAGCCGTTCAAAGCACCAAAAAGCATCTGCTTCATGTTCCAAAATTATTGATATTGGTGAACAAAGATCACTCATTCCTGCTCATGCATAAAGGATTTAACAAGCATACACAACATAGCATTTAGGAAACTGTCATTGTTAAGAATTTCCCTTTTTACTAATACTTGATCCACATTTGTTTAAGAAATAATTGATCTGCACCCACACAAAGAAGATATGCGTTGCTTAAACAACTCACCCTGACAGTAACCAATGTCAGTGTCCACCCATGCGTACACTGTAAGAATGTCCCACAGCCGTGCCAAATTCTCCTGGCTCTCGTAATACACTAATGTCCGGTCAGTTCGGTTAACATCAAGACCTGCAATTGATCAGTGGAAGAATCAGAAAACTTAAAAACTTGAAGACAACATACGGAAACTGCTATTTTTTTTTACATGTGACGGATGCTGAAAACAGAGGCAATACTGCTGCTTACCAATTTGGTGCAGAAGAAGTTTCCATTGAATGACTTCTTTTGTGAGCGGACCATTATTGGTTTGCTGTTCTCCAGTTGAGTTAGGATCCTCGATAGGCTGGCCATCTTCTGTTATGACAGGCATAGTGATTACCCTTCCACTACCAACAGTCGTGTCCATTTCTCGGCACTTTGTTTTCAGTTTCTCATATTCTAACCTATGAAAATATTCAAATCAGTATAATCCTCATCCCATTCATATGTCGCCTTTATAACTTTCTGAAAAGCATGGTGAACATCCTGAAGCAAAAAAATAGCATTGCTATGTGCAGCATAACATGTGACAGAACTACATTAGTCCAGTTTTTCAGCAAATTGAAATGAAACCTCTAGATACAATGGCTTGAATGTGTATCCCCTTTTTGTGGACTGCTTCAGCTCTTCTAGAGAACCCAATATCTCTAAACTATTTATTTGAGCAATTTAAACTCTCAATTACTCATAAGTATGAATGTATGATACTATGTGTTTGAAGTAGCCATTATTGCAAAAATAAGGATCAAGAAAAGGAAGGTGGCTGGTGAGAATCTTTGCAAGATGATAAAAACTATGTATTGCTTCTAATGACATTAAAATGGAATGAAATGAACAGACAAAAGTAAGATGCAGATGAGATTAAAAAAAAACCTTCTCTGTTGTCGCAATTGATTCCTCTGTTCGGTAGTGCTTTTAGGGTCGTAACAACCGAGCAAATACTCCCAAACTTCTCCTTTGATGTTTGGGTGGACGCCCTGTTGGCATAACCAAAATAAAGACAAGGTCCTGGTTCAGTTAAACTGAGGAGTCACAATATGTGCTTAGATGCGGTATATATGCCCCAAGGGATACTAACAACTGACAAGAAAATGCATGGTTGTTAAGAAGAAAAATTGCAAGGCTGAAAGGGTAGAAAAACAGTACAGTGTGAAAGGTCTGTGCTAACAAACATGATTCAGAGTCCTCCCACTGAATCTTGTATCAGTTGAAGAAACAAAACAAACTGATGGAGCCAAAATAACAAAACATGCCCTGTGCAAATTCCTATAAGTTCATTTCTCGCGAATAAGTATTGACTGTATGTAGCAGTGTGCAGACCCTTTTTCAAAGAGCAATACAAGCTGTCAACTAGTCCTGAATGCGAGTTTGACTGCGGGTGTTGTTACACATGAACATGATACATAACATTTACCCTGTCCTGCCCGGGGTGTGAGATCGATACAATATGCGACTGAGCTCATCGCGCTGCTTGTGATGAATCTGGATAAAGAAAGATGTATATATATGTAGCTCACCCCACGCTGCACTCTCATGATCATTCCAGCGGCGTCGAGGCAGCCCTCCTCGTTGAACAGCAGCTTCCATCTCCTCGGACTCAGCGTGCGGCGAGGCTGCCAGAGGACAAAAAACAACAACAGCAGCACAATCAGTCAATAAACCAATGCGCTCGACGATCAATACAATATACAATACAATACAGTCATTGATCTCTGCATGCAATCAGCTTCTGAGCAAAGGAGGAAAAAAAAAGAGGCTCCAGTTCTGCATCAAAAGCGGCAGCCTATGAGACTCTGAATTTGCACATGGATACAGGGGATCCATATATAAGCGGCAGAGAGCCTCATGCTTGTGTTCTGCTCTGATTCTACCTATCTGAACATAGGCGTCCAGACGGGGATGATAATTCGTAATGCAGAGAAGAGATGATATATGCAGAGGAAAAAGGCAGAGGGGGGATCGCGTGCGTGCTTGCCATGGGCTTGAAGCGGGACTTGGGGGCGTCGGTGCAGTCGGGGCGGGTGGGGTAGATGGTCTCCGGATCGATGAGCATGTCCGGGTCGTTGTAGCAGCACGCCAAGAACATCATCTTGCCTGATCTCCCTTAACAATCGACCAGATCGGAGACAGACAGACAGACAGACAGATCGACCGGGACGCCGGCGACCGGCGGGCGGGGCCGAGGATCGATCGATCGCCTGCGGCTGGCCGGGGCGGGGCGGGACGGCGGATGAAGATCGCCGGGCGGATAAGGATCGAGATGCTCCTCGATCGGTCGATCTGTGTGACGAGAGGGAGAGAGGTCAGAGGTGGTGTAACGGCTAAATTTGGCCGGGTCGGGAGTGGGGAGAGAGAGAGAGGAAGGAGGAGCGAGCGAGAGCGAGGGGAGACAAGAAGCACGGCACACAGCTGCTGGGTGCCTTTTTTCTTTTTCTTTATTAATATTATTATCATTATTACAACGTCAAGCACAGCTGCTTTTTTAATTATTATTTTTAATTAATCAAGCTGATTTTTAATTATTATTTTTAATTAATCAAGGCGTGTCGACAAGTTTCCAGCTGGAATTGGTCAAGTCCAGTCTATAGAAATTCTTGTACTCCCTCTGTTCACTTTTATAAGGCCTTAAAGACATTGCAGATAATGTGCAAAATAGCCTATTTTTCAGTTATCTGAAATGACTTATAAAAATGAACGGAGGGAGTAGTATTTATTTCTTCTTTGAGGGGAAATTGATTACTAACACAATTTATTCTTGCTATATACTTCCTTCATCCGTTCCTAAATATTTGTCTTTCTAGAGATTTCAACAAGTGACTAGTACATACGAAGTGAAATGAGTGAATCTACACTCTAAAATATGTCTATACACATCCGTATGCGGTAGTCCATTTGAAATCTTTAAAAAGACAAATACAGAGTATTTAGGAACAGAGGGAGTATTTATATTATTCTTATACTCAATAACTGTTCTTGCGCATTCGTCGCATTCTGTATCGGCTGGTTGATGATTTGTTTTTTGCGGCTAGGATCGTTGTTGACCATCTTCATAAACTATAGGCTTCGATCGCTATCTGAAGATTTCCTTTCCGTTGGCTGGGCCTAATTATATAATTTTTTGGGCAGAGGATACATTACTTGTTACTTGTTATATTTATTATGATGATATCAAAAGGTTTGCCTTCTCCCTTTCAAAATAAAATAAAATAAGAGGTTTGCCTTGGAATGGTAGGCGCTCCAGATTTTGCAACAATTTTCCTTTTAAAAATATATCTTGGGAATATAATAAGCCGTGCGTGCTTGGTTGACACGACGAACACCCATGCCACTAACTGAGCCAGCCAACCAATGTCGTTACAAAGCTACAGCCACAGGCCAACCAGATACGATGTACTTTGTGGTAGTATAGTAGGGAGTACCATATTGATATAATCATCATCAATAATAAAAACCCAAAAATCACTTCACGGAGAGAAAGCTGCCGCCAACAGCAAGGCACCTGATTATCTGCTGTCCAGCTTGCTGCAGCGCCGGCTCCCTTGGCAGAGAATCCCATCCTACTACTGCTTGCCTCCAATGTTTCAACGGAAGATGCAACCACCTGGCACCAAGCTGCATGTGCAGACAGTGCACTACAGGCCAGGTTCTTAAGCTTTGGAAGCTAACAAGTGCAGGCCAAGGTTCTTCTTGGCTTAAGCCTTGGAAGCTAGTAGCTCGCACGTAATAACATCATCCATCGACGCGGAGCGGCCGGACCCCGAGACCGGGATGAGGTTGAAGACGGGCGCCCCGGCGGTTCTCAATGAACCATCGGCTCCTCCGAGCTCGGTGAAGGCCTCAGAGAATGCACGGGACATCGCGTCCGCTGCCGCCGCGTGCTTCGCCAAATAGTAGAACCTCAGCATCTGCAGGTATAAATGAATTCAGTAATGCTGATTAGGAGGCGGGACCGGTGCAGCCATGAAAAGGAACGACAGGACAGGGACTTACCGTTACGTCGTCCCAGGTGAAGCCAGTGTCTGTCAGGGTCTTTGCGAGCTGGAAAGCACAAAACCTAGCTATGGCTTTCAAATGCTCCTTTGAGGGGTGTAGTTGTTCGGTGCTGGAACAGATCTTTGATGCGATGTCATTCGTGACTGAAACCAAAGCAGAGCAAATCTTCCCAGCAACCGCGTTGATCAGGCAGCATGAGTCATGCAAGCCAGAGTATTGTGCGCTCCACTCACTCGGGACTTTGCTTGATGATGGCTTTGACCCTCCGGTCTCCAGCTCTTTGGTAATATCTCCATCGTCGTCATCGCCGTCGTAGTCATCAGTGGGGACATACAACGTTGGTTTTATCTCCACACATGCTCTGAAAGAATGGAACAAATATTTCTTATAAAGTTCAGCATGGCATCACCAAATATGTTTATCCAGATGACACGGGTTTTCTTGCTGATAAAAAAGATAGAAGAAAAATATGCTTACCCTTTTGGAAGATCCGGTGCTAGTACATATAGAATAGTAGGATATAATCCACTTCTTGCGGAATCCAAATGAGCAATATATGAATTCTGCAGCTTTTGTTCAACTGCTTCCTTCTCAGTGGATGTCAGGTGGGCAGAGCAGTACACCAGAAAGTGTATTGCTGAAGAGAAGATAGAGCTCTTGAAGGCATTAGCCACAGCTTCACTATTTCGCAGTGCTAGTTCCAGTTGAGCTGTTGCGCCTCCAGGACAGAGCTTCATTGTAGGGGGGTCAAGCCCGAGCTGACCGGCCATATAGAGAATCTCTCCATAAAGTGTTGCCTGAAAGACATTAGAAAGAAATTTCATGTCCCAGAGTCATCATATGCGAACACTCAGTGCTAACTGAATATACCGGCAACTAGTCTGCGCTCTGCAGACAGCAACTAGTCTGCAGACAGCTTTTAGTATGAATTCATGGCATTATCATGGAGTGTTCTTTTACCTGGCTATAAGGTCCAATGCAACTAGGAGCCCAGCATGAGATGCTTTGTACGTGCAGAACTCTTTTGACCAGATCACTTGCAACTAGAACCTCCACATATGCATGGCCCAAACCAGCCTGAACAAGTGGTAATTCAATTGTACTGCGCGAAGGAACACCAAGGTGACATTTCTTTTCTGTGATGAAGCTGACATAAACTTCATTGGCCAATCCAAATTCCTTCATGCTTGAAATGTAGAGGTGAACATATACAACATTTGCCCAACTTAACCCTCCGTCCTTGAGCCGATTCTCGATTCTGCTCAAAACTTTGACTAGATCTGCCTTCATGCCTATTGACGTAATGGAATTGTAAGTGAGTGTCCAACAAAGCAAGATGAAATAGAACATAAGGTACCCCGCAAAAAAAGAGAACATAAGGTACTCCTACCAGGCAGAGAATTATGAATAGTTCAATAACATGGAAATAAGTAGCACAGGGGTATCCACCTTGGGAAGCACTAGAGGGTTCTTCTATCCAACAACCAATGGAAAACAAAGTCTTCCCTGTCTTTGAAATGCATACATTTGTATCTGGGTAAGCATCAGAGGTTGGTGTTGGATTCAAGGTCTGTTTGTTTTCCGCATCAGTGTGTGCAATAGCTCCATTTACTTCATACAAGCAACTAGAATTCTCTTCAGCAATGGCGCCATCCCCAATGCTGCTAGATGAACCTGGCTTGGGCTCAACATGAAATGCCAGCGGATGAAGAATTCCAACTGAAGCAATGGAATCAGCAGAGTGGAGTATCACTTCAAAATCATCAAGGACAATCCTTGCATTCTGCAAACGTAGGCATATTATAGTACAGAAAACTCAACAGTTATTGGTTGCTGGTAGAAAAAACATTACTATGCTCAACAGCCATCTGATGACATGTTAGAATAGACAGTGCCAACACGGCATGGAACATGGTGATGGTTACAGTCTACCTAACATTCTAAAACAAGTGGCATTTAGTCAGCTCTTCAAACTTACACGAAATAGAGGGCAGTCAAGAGTTAGTGTTTCGTACTCTCCACCTTCACCACAGACATTGATTCCAAAACTCCTAATAGGATAAACAAAGAAGATAAATTACAAGATGAAAATATATGCGAGCAAAAGACCAGCATTTACACAGAGATCAATGAGAATAAGACACGCAGAGAGGGACAAACTGTGGCACATTTTTTTCATTACAGAAGACTCCCATTTCTATTCCTGAGAAACAAAACAGATTTTGCTTCCAGGAACCAACAGGACATTAGTAGCCAGCTCACCAACAATCAGTAAATGCACACCAAATATAAGACCTAATGGTGGAAGTACTGTTCACAGTCAATCCATCATACAACCAAGAGCAACACAAACTGAGTTTTACTCACTTCGTTCACAAATATAAGATGTTCTATCTTTTTTGTGAACCAGATGTCTATAGACACGTTTTAGTGTGTTTGTTCACTCATTTCAGTCTGTATGTAGTCCATATTCAAATATCCAAAACATCTTATATTTGTAACGGAGGGAGTACTAGCCAGCTACTTTTCGAGAACAATAAGACGCAAAAACTAGCATTCCTCTCCAAACACTGCAATTGCCGTGTATATATAGAAACCAGACCCACTAATTAATATCCCTACACATGAAGTTAATGCCTTCACTCATTCAAACGCAAACCTTTCATAAGGGACAAGAGGCCACTATTTCCAAAGAGCAAAAGGTCTAGACAGAAGGGAGTTAGAAACATACTCATTCATTTGGAGCAGATGGCCCTTAAGTTCAGCCAGTTCTTTACCCAAGTGGGCAGAAGGTTTCAGCCCCATTGCAGCAACCTATAAATCCCAACGGACCAACCACTTATATTCCAAAGAGATAAAGTGCAATGACGCAAGTAAATTAGAGAAAATCTACAAAACATAAACATGAGTACACTGTATACCTTGACAGTTATAGCCACAATGCCCCTTCTTATCTGCAGGGATTAAGACCAAAACAAAAGCTGACAACATTAGCGTGCAGTTTCTGCCAAGCCAGACAATCTGCCAAAGATAAAAGACAAACTGAAGTTCAATTTTACCATTTCTTCAAGAAGCAGAGTCTGATCCTGCCTCCAC